CCCTACAGAAAGACAATGATATGTTGCATGTTCCAGGGTAAGCAAACCAGACCATTTCCACATCAACACTGGGAAAGAAACAGCAAGATATACTGTTTACCCACAAGCAGAAAGGAATTACATATATTAGATACCAACACTTTCTCATTACTTTATTTTCCAGATCAACAGACTGGGTAACAGCAACGTGTGGCAGGGGACAGCTAGTTAATATCTAAATCTCTTGTGGAATTCCACCCAGTCTGTGAACATTTACCCTGTGAGTTGGAAACTCTCCAAAATTCCAACATTTCTGTGTATGACAACAGTCCCATTTCAAACACATACACACCCACAGAAATACTGTAAACAAAAACAAGAGAGGTGATTAAATATCCCCTCTTAATTAAAGCATTAAAAAAAATCCGCATGGAACAGAATAGCAAAACAATTCACAGGAATGATTTGTATATAATTTGTATTATTACACATACAGTACATGTAATTTCCAAAAATATTTTTTAACATGGTGCCACGAACACTACAGAGCATCTGAGTTTCCATATCTTGTAATGCATGCAAAAACAGGAAATCAAGGTCATAAATAAGAAGAGCTGCCACACTCCAAGATATTTTCAGACTGCAACTCCACAAATTCCCCAGCCAGTTGGGCCAGTGTGATGATGGTTGGGTGACACTGGGAGTAACCACTGATGCAAGGACGTGGGTCTCCAGCCACCTTTCAAGCTGCCCATCGGAGCCCTCGGTGGTGAAATGGGGTTAACCTTGTCCCCAGCACCCCAGCAAGATGGCTGATCGAAATGTGAGCTCCTGTCTGTCAGCTCCAGCTTCTCATGCAAGGACATGAGAGAAGCCTCCCACAGGATGGTAACACATCTGGGCATCCCCTGGTAGGCTGATAAGGACTTGACCACCATCTTTTCCTCATGACCTTCTATGCTTCTGGACTCTCCTCTACAGTTCCATGACTGCACGTTGATGAAGTTGCATTGATTGACCGTCTGCGCAGGGTTACATACTTTGCACTTTAACAACACAACCATTCAATGCTAAGACTTTCTGCCAAAATGGAACTGTAGAGGAGAGTCTACTGAACAAGCCAGTCCTTGCCGCATACCAGTACTGCCATCTGTTGAGCAGTTACGAAGGTGGAGGCATTACGTTTCATTCAACCCTTGTATTGTGCAGGGTTCCATACTTTGCACTTTAACAACACAACCGTTCAATACTAAGGCTTCCCACCAAAATGGAACTGTAGAGGAGAGTCTACTGAACAAGTCAGTACCGGCCGCATACCAGTACTGCCATCTGTTGAGGAGTTTCAATACTAAGGCTTCCCATCAAAATGGAACTGTAGAGAAGAGTCTACTGAACAAGCCAGTTTCAGTTCCATCTGTTGAGGATTTACAAAGGTGGAGGCATTACTTTCCATTCAACCCTTGTAGTTAGACAACATCGGAAGGGCTACACCATGAGGTGGGGATACCCTCTAGACTTGTGGACTCCAAGTTCCATCGGGATGATCCAGGGCTTAGTCTGTTTCAACCTGAATGGCTGGGAATTGTAGTCCAAAAAGGAAAACCCACATTTCCAACCTTCTGGAAAATATCCCCAGCTAGCTTGTGGCGTAGTGAGGGATACGTAGTTAGACAACATCTGGAGGACTTCACCATGAGGTGGGGGTACCCTCTAGACCAGTAGTTCTCAACCTGTGGGTCCCCAGGTGTTTTGGCCTACAACTCCCAGAAATCCCAGCCAGTTTACCCACTGTTAGGATTTCTGGGAGTTGAAGGGCAAAACATCTGGGGACCCACAGGTTGAGAACCACTGCTCCAGACTTCTGGACTCCAAGTTCCATCAGGATGATCCAGGGCTTAGACGCTCTCAACCTGAATGGCTGGGAATTGTAGTCCAAGAAGAAAAACCCACATTTCCACCTTCTGGAAAGTATCCCCAGCTAGCTTGTGGAGTAGTGAGGGATACATAGTTAGACAACATCTGGAGGGCTTCACCATGAGGTGGGGATACCCTCTAGACTTCCGGACTCCAAGATCCATCAGGATGATCTAGGGCTTAGACTGTTTCAATCTGAATGGGTGGGAATTGTAGTCCAAGAAGCAAAACCCACATTTCCCACCTTCTGGAAAGTATCCCCAGCTAGCTTGTGGAGTAGTGAGGGATACATAGTTAGACAACATCTGGAGGGCTTCACCATGAGGTGGGGATACCCTCTAGACTTCCGGACTCCAAGATCCATCAGGATGATCTAGGGCTTAGACTGTTTCAATCTGAATGGGTGGGAATTGTAGTCCAAGAAGCAAAACCCACATTTCCCACCTTCTGGAAACTATCCCCAGCTAGCTTGTGGAGTAGTGAGGGATACATAGTTAGACAACATCTGGAGGGCTTCACCATGAGGTGGGGATACCCTCTAGACTTCCGGACTCCAAGATCCATCAGGATGATCTAGGGCTTAGACTGTTTCAATCTGAATGGGTGGGAATTGTAGTCCAAGAAGCAAAACCCACATTTCCCACCTTCTGGAAACTATCCCCAGCTAGCTTGTGGAGTAGTGCGGGATACATAGTTAGACAACATCTGGAGGGCTTCACCATGAGGTGGGGATACCCTCTAGACTTCCGGACTCCAAGATCCATCAGGATGATCTAGGGCTTAGACTGTTTCAATCTGAATGGGTGGGAATTGTAGTCCAAGAAGCAAAACCCACATTTCCACCTTCTGGAAAGTATCCCCAGCTAGCTTGTGGAGTAGTGAGGGATACATAGTTAGACAACATCTGGAGGGCTTCACCATGAGGTGGGGATACCCTCTAGACTTCCGGACTCCAAGATCCATCAGGATGATCTAGGGCTTAGACTGTTTCAATCTGAATGGGTGGGAATTGTAGTCCAAGAAGCAAAACCCACATTTCCCACCTTCTGGAAAGTATCCCCAGCTAGCTTGTGGAGTAGTGAGGGATACATAGTTAGACAACATCTGGAGGGCTTCACCATGAGGTGGGGATACCCTCTAGACTTCCGGACTCCAAGATCCATCAGGATGATCTAGGGCTTAGACTGTTTCAATCTGAATGGGTGGGAATTGTAGTCCAAGAAGCAAAACCCACATTTCCCACCTTCTGGAAACTATCCCCAGCTAGCTTGTGGAGTAGTGCGGGATACATAGTTAGACAACATCTGGAGGGCTTCACCATGAGGTGGGGATACCCTCTAGACTTCCGGACTCCAAGATCCATCAGGATGATCTAGGGCTTAGACTGTTTCAATCTGAATGGGTGGGAATTGTAGTCCAAGAAGCAAAACCCACATTTCCCACCTTCTGGAAACTATCCCCAGCTAGCTTGTGGAGTAGTGAGGGATACATAGTTAGACAACATCTGGAGGGCTTCACCATGAGGTGGGGATACCCTCTAGACTTCCGGACTCCAAGATCCATCAGGATGATCTAGGGCTTAGACTGTTTCAATCTGAATGGGTGGGAATTGTAGTCCAAGAAGCAAAACCCACATTTCCACCTTCTGGAAAGTATCCCCAGCTAGCTTGTGGAGTAGTGAGGGATACATAGTTAGACAACATCTGGAGGGCTTCACCATGAGGTGGGGATACCCTCTAGATTTCCGGACTCCAAGATCCATCAGGATGATCTAGGGCTTAGACTGTTTCAATCTGAATGGGTGGGAATTGTAGTCCAAGAAGCAAAACCCACATTTCCCACCTTCTGGAAACTATCCCCAGCTAGCTTGTGGAGTAGTGCGGGATACATAGTTAGACAACATCTGGAGGGCTTCACCATGAGGTGGGGATACCCTCTAGACTTCCGGACTCCAAGATCCATCAGGATGATCTAGGGCTTAGACTGTTTCAATCTGAATGGGTGGGAATTGTAGTCCAAGAAGCAAAACCCACATTTCCCACCTTCTGGAAACTATCCCCAGCTAGCTTGTGGAGTAGTGAGGGATACATAGTTAGACAACATCTGGAGGGCTTCACCATGAGGTGGGGATACCCTCTAGACTTCCGGACTCCAAGATCCATCAGGATGATCTAGGGCTTAGACTGTTTCAATCTGAATGGGTGGGAATTGTAGTCCAAGAAGCAAAACCCACATTTCCACCTTCTGGAAAGTATCCCCAGCTAGCTTGTGGAGTAGTGAGGGATACATAGTTAGACAACATCTGGAGGGCTTCACCATGAGGTGGGGATACCCTCTAGATTTCCGGACTCCAAGATCCATCAGGATGATCTAGGGCTTAGACTGTTTCAATCTGAATGGGTGGGAATTGTAGTCCAAGAAGCAAAACCCACATTTCCCACCTTCTGGAAACTATCCCCAGCTAGCTTGTGGAGTAGTGCGGGATACATAGTTAGACAACATCTGGAGGGCTTCACCATGAGGTGGGGATACCCTCTAGACTTCCGGACTCCAAGATCCATCAGGATGATCTAGGGCTTAGACTGTTTCAATCTGAATGGGTGGGAATTGTAGTCCAAGAAGCAAAACCCACATTTCCCACCTTCTGGAAACTATCCCCAGCTAGCTTGTGGAGTAGTGCGGGATACATAGTTAGACAACATCTGGAGGGCTTCACCATGAGGTGGGGATACCCTCTAGACTTCCGGACTCCAAGATCCATCAGGATGATCTAGGGCTTAGACTGTTTCAATCTGAATGGGTGGGAATTGTAGTCCAAGAAGCAAAACCCACATTTCCCACCTTCTGGAAACTATCCCCAGCTAGCTTGTGGAGTAGTGAGGGATACATAGTTAGACAACATCTGGAGGGCTTCACCATGAGGTGGGGATACCCTCTAGACTTCCGGACTCCAAGATCCATCAGGATGATCTAGGGCTTAGACTGTTTCAATCTGAATGGGTGGGAATTGTAGTCCAAGAAGCAAAACCCACATTTCCAAGTTCTGGAAACTATCTCCTGCTAGCTTGTGGAGTAGTGAGGGATACATAGTTAGACAACATCTGAAGGGCTTCACCATGAGGTGGGGATACCCGCTAGTCTTCTGGACTCCAAGTTCCATCAGGATGATCTAGGACTTAGATTGTTTCAACCTGAATGGCTGGGAATTGTAGTCCAAAAAGGAAAACTCACATTTCCCACCTTCTGGAAACTATCCCCAGCTAGCTTGTGGAGTAGGCTTCAACATGAGGTGGGGATACCCTCTAGTCTTCTGGACTCCAAGTTCCATCAGGATGATCCAGGGCTTTCAACCTGAATGGCTGGGAATTGTAGTCCAAGAAGGAAAACCCACATTTCCACCTTCTGGAAACTATCTCCAGCTAGTTTGTTGAGTAGTGAGGGATACATAGTTAGACAACATCTGGAGGGCTTCACCATGAGGTGGGAACATCATTCCAGTTTCACAAAACACAGATCGGAGTGACTTTCATCACAACTAGCTGAAATAAATAAGATGTGGAAGAGACACCAAGCATAATTAATGCTGAGTAGGGTAGCGGATGATGGACACTGAACAATACAAGTCAAAGTTAGAACTCTTGACAGTGTCCCAATGCCACTTCCATCCAGATCTCTGCAAGTACCTCCCCCTTTGAAACCATGTATGACAGCTGGACATCCAGCACACCTGACGTGAACACTTGAAAAACATACATGACATGTGAACCTCTCTTGAAGGCATCATAAAGCTATGGAACGGCACACGGGTGGAGTTTCAAGTGCAGACATTTTAACGCAAAGGGTGAGGGTGGGAGCACTTAAACAGTGAGGGAGATGAAGCTGTTGTATCTCTGGATGTTCCTCTTGAGGATTTCCGAGCAGGGGCCCAGGACCCGCTCAAAACGGGGGCGGTCCAGCTTGACGCACTTCAGGGGCCCACGGGCCACCACCGTCGCAGCCCGGGGTCTGTTGAGCAGAAGGGCAATCTCACCTGCAAGCAGAAAGAAACACGCGACAGTCACACCTCCTGAGATAACAACCCTCATTGGCTTCCTTGTCCGTGATGCCTTCCATCCTTTCCTCAGACTGCTCTCTTTGAGCCTACAAAACATCATTTTGGACCATAACTCAGAGTTTTGGGTCAAAAAGGTCTCTGTGATCTTTGTCAGCCTCATCTGACACCCTTTTCCAGGACTCTCCCAAGGTTCTTCTCCTTGTCCTACATCCAACTTGATGTTTCTCCAGCCTTTCCTCATCTGAGACATGTATTATATTGGATTTCATTCTTGACGCCAAGACCGGTCCATATTCTATGTGCGTAAATGCTCCATGAGAAGTTCTGGGAGTTGAGAAAGCCTACCTCAAATGCTACCTGTTCCCCATTTATGACGAACCCTTATCCTTCTAGATCAGTGGTTCTCAACCTGGGGTCCCCAGATGTTTTTAGCCTACAACTCCCAGAAATCCCAGCTAGTTTATCAACTTGTCCTAATTCCAACAGACCTCACTACCTCTGAGGATGCTTGCCATAGATGCAGGCGAAACATCAGGAGAAATGCCTCTAGAACATGGCTCTATAGCACGAAAAAACCCACAAGAACCTAGTTTATCAACTGTTAGGATTTCTGGGAGTTGAAGGCCAAAAACATCTGAGGACCCCAGGTTGAGAACCACTGTTCTAGATGTTTGGGGACTTCAATCCTGGAAGTCCCACCTAGCATGGCCAATGATACAGGACTGTGGCAAGATGTCTGTGGCCTTCTATCGCCACCAGCCAGATTTGATGGCATCTTTGAGAGCATTAAGAGACCTCTCAAGACCTTCTGGCAGTGAGAAGTACTCAAGTCATAGAATCATAGAGTTGGAAGAGACCTCATGGGACATCCAGCCCAACCCCATTCTGCCAAGAAGCAGGACAACCACGTTCAAAGCACAACAGTCACACCTCCTGAGATAACCCTCGTTGGCTTCCTTGTCCGTGATGCCTCCCATCTTTCCTCTACAAAAACTCATTTTGGACCACAACTCAGAGTTGTCGGTCAAAAAGGTTCTCTGTGATCTTTGCCAGCCTCATCTGACACCCTTGAGATAACAACCCTCGTTGGCTTCCTTGTCCGTGATGCCTTCCATCCTTTCCTCTTTGAGCTTACAGAAACTCATTTTGGACCACAACTCAGAGTTGTGGGTCAAAAAGGTTCTCTGTGATCTTTGTCAGCCTCATCTGACACGCTTTTCCAGGAATCTTCCAAGGTTCTTCTCCTTGTCCTACATCCAACTTGATGTTTTTCCAGCCTTCGCTCATCTGAGACATGTATTATGTTGTATTTCATTCCTGACCCCAAGGCTGGTCCATATTCTATGTGAGTAAATGCTCCACGAGAAGTTCTGGGAGTTGAGAAAGCCTACCTCAAATGCCACCTGTCCCCCATTTATGAAAACAGTGGTGAAGAACCCTTATCCTTCTAGATGTTTGGGGACTTCAATCCTGGAAGTCCCACCTAGCATGGTCAATGATACAGGACTGTGGCAAGATGTCTGTGGTCTTCTATCACCACCAGCCAGGTTTGATGGCATCTTTGGGAGCATTAAGAGACCTCTCAAGACCTTCTGGCAGTGAGAAGTACTCAAGTCATAGAATCATAGAGTTGGAAGAGACCTCATGGGACATCCAGTCCAACCCCATTCTGCCAAGAAGCAGGACAACCACATTCAAAGCACAATAGTCACACCTCCTGAGATAACAACCCTCGTTGGCTTCCTTGTCCGTGATGCCTCCCATCTTTCCTCTACAAAAACTCATTTTGGACCACAACTCAGAGTTGTCGGTCAAAAAGGTTCTCTGTGATCTTTGCCAGCCTCATCTGACACCCTTTTCCAGGAATCTCCCAAGGTTCTTCTCCTTGCCCTACATCCAACTTGATGTTTCTCCAGCCTTTCCTCATCTGAGACATGTATTATGTTGGATTTCATTCTTGACCCCAAGGCTGGTCCATATTCTATGTGAGTAAATGCTCCACGAGAAGTTCTGGGAGTTGAGAAAGCCTACCTCAAATGCCACCTGTCCCCCATTTATGAAAACAGTGGTGAAGAACCCTTATCCTTCTAGATGTTTGAGTCCCACCTAGCATGGCCAATGATACAGGACTGTGGCAAGATGTCTGTGGTCCCTGTGGGGTTCCTCAGGGTTCAATACTGTCTCCCATGTTGTTTAACATCTACATGAAGCCGCTGGGCGAGATCATCCGGAGTTTCGGAATGCGATGTCATCTGTACGCAGATGATGTCCAACTCTGTCACTCCTTCCCACCTGCTACTAAGGAGGCTGTTGAGGTCCTGAACCGGTGCTTGGCCGCTGTGACGGTCTGGATGGGGGCGAACAGATTGAAATTGAATCCAGACAAGACAGAGGTACTCCTGGTTAGTCGCAAGGCCGAACAGGGTATAGGGTTACAGCCTGTGTTAGACGGGGTCGCACTCCCCCTGAAGACGCAGGTTCGCAGTTTGGGTGTGATCCTGGACTCATTGCTGAGCCTGGAACCCCAGGTTTCGGCGGTGACCAGGGGAGCTTTCGCACAGTTAAAACTTGTGCGCCAACTGCGACTGTACCTTGGGAAGTCTGACTTGGCCACGGTAGTCCACGCTCTGGTTACATCCCGTCTTGACTACTGCAACGCTCTCTACGTGGGGTTGCCTTTGAAGACGGCTCGGAAGCTCCAATTAGTCCAACGTGCGGCAGCCATGATACTAACCGGAGCGGGGCGCAGGGAGCATACAACTCCTCTGCTGTACCAGCTCCACTGGCTGCCGATTTGCTACCGGGCCCAATTCAAAGTGCTGGCGCTGGCCTTTAAAGCCCTAAACGGTTCTGGCCCAACTTATCTATCCGAACGTATCTCAGCCTATCAGCCCACCAGGACCCTAAGATCTTCTGGGGAGGCCCTGCTCTCTATCCCGCCTGCTTCACAGGTGCGGCTGGCGGGAACGAGAGACAGGGCCTTTTCTGTGGTGGCCCCTCGGCTTTGGAATGCCCTCCCCATAGAGGTGAGATCAGCCCCTTCGCTGATGGTATTTCGAAAAAGGTTGAAGACATGGATGTTTAAACAAGCATTCGATTAATCTGGTGCAACGAAACTGATGAACAAGGATTGGTTAATCACAGACGACGAAATTGGATTGCGACTACAATTAAGAGATGCATTGGATTATTATTGGTGGCCCAATAATATTGTGTATTGTGTATGTGTTTTTATGCTTTTTAATGGAATATTGCTGCTTGTCGTTGTGTTGTAAACCGCGTTGAGTCGCCGATTTAGGCTGAGAAACGGCGGTATATAAGCACAGTAATAAATAATAATAATACCACCAGCCAGGTTTGATGGCATCTTTGGGAGCATTAAGAGACCTCTCAAGACCTTCTGGCAGTGAGAAGTACTCAAGTCATAGAATCATAGAGTTGGAAGAGACCTCATGGGACATCCAGCCCAACCCCATTCTGCCAAGAAGCAGGACAACCACGTTCAAAGCACAACAGTCACACCTCCTGAGATAACCCTCGTTGGCTTCCTTGTCCGTGATGCCTCCCATCTTTCCTCTACAAAAACTCATTTTGGACCACAACTCAGAGTTGTCGGTCAAAAAGGTTCTCTGTGATCTTTGCCAGCCTCATCTGACACCCTTGAGATAACAACCCTCGTTGGCTTCCTTGTCCGTGATGCCTTCCATCCTTTCCTCTTTGAGCTTACAGAAACTCATTTTGGACCACAACTCAGAGTTGTGGGTCAAAAAGGTTCTCTGTGATCTTTGTCAGCCTCATCTGACACGCTTTTCCAGGAATCTTCCAAGGTTCTTCTCCTTGTCCTACATCCAACTTGATGTTTTTCCAGCCTTCGCTCATCTGAGACATGTATTATGTTGTATTTCATTCCTGACCCCAAGGCTGGTCCATATTCTATGTGAGTAAATGCTCCACGAGAAGTTCTGGGAGTTGAGAAAGCCTACCTCAAATGCCACCTGTCCCCCATTTATGAAAACAGTGGTGAAGAACCCTTATCCTTCTAGATGTTTGGGGACTTCAATCCTGGAAGTCCCACCTAGCATGGTCAATGATACAGGACTGTGGCAAGATGTCTGTGGTCTTCTATCACCACCAGCCAGGTTTGATGGCATCTTTGGGAGCATTAAGAGACTATAGTATCATAGATTTGAAAGGGACCCCTGAAGAAGGACAATTATATGTTGCATGTTCCAGAGTAGGCAAAGCAGACAATCTCCACATCAACACTGGCAAAGAAACAACAAGAAATACTGCTTACCCACAAACATAAAAAAATTACATATATTAGAAACCAACACTTTCTCATTACTTTATTTTCCAGATCACCAGACTAGGCCACAGCAACACGTGGCAGGGGACAGCTAGTATATATATATATATAAATTATGGGAAGACAACAAAGACTATAGCAGACCTGGGCCAATTTAAGACCAGGTTGTAGCACAGCTGGTTGGGGTGTCACCGGCATTAAAATCACTACTAACCGACAGTTGCATTTGCTAATTAGGAAATTTAAGTACTGCTTATGAGAGGAGGCTAATTTAACTAATTTACGATGCCATAAAACTCTCCAGCAGCATGCAAAAGAATGAGGAAGTACTCCATTGGTGTCACAAGTGGATGAAGCAACAGCTCCCCCGGTGGCCAGAATTCAAAGCATACCCTCATGAAGCTGGAAAGTTAAATAGCCTTCTTTGTGTCTGTCTATATATGTTGTGTGTCGATGGCATTGAATGCTTGCCATATATATGTGCATTGTGATCCACCCTGAGTCCCCTGCGGGGTGAGGAGAAGGGCAGAATATACATACTGTCAATAAACAAACAAACAAACAAATAAATCCTTCCTGCCGTGTGAAGAATAGCAATCAATTAATTGATTAATGACTTTATTAAAATCCCATATTTTCCCCACATAATGAAGAAGAGCCAAGAGAAGGGACAACCTTGGAAGAGGGATGTGTTCTGCCACGCCCTGGGCCTGTAAAGAATTTCCTTTCGAACAGGACGTGCAACCTTTGCCCAGCGGGAAGCCAGGGGGCCCAAGGAGAAGTTCTCGGAGGTTTTCCACCACAAATGATCTTTAGATGGCTTGTGATGTAAAACAAAGTCTTTTATTAATGAACAATCAAACAGAAACTTCTCTTGTCTTCAGAAAGTTAAATGAATCCAGGCTTTTATGCAACTGGTAGCTTCCTAATCTTGCCCACGAAGGACAGGCAACTATCTTCAATAACTTCTTCTTTATTTTAAAGGAAAATCCCCTTTTTAACTTCTCCCAGGCTGACTGTAATCTACCCCTTACTGATGTGGGCTCCGCTACCGGGTCGAAATGCTTCTCAAACACCGAGTGGACCTACCAGTAAAGGCTTAGATGTTCTCCAGCTGCAGTTCTTTGGTCTTTAGGGCTGTTTCCCTGAAAAGTCTTTGGAGACTCTTAAAACTGTTCTCCCCCAGAAATTCTTAGGGGCTGAAGCTTTTGTACAGGGGAAGCTTGCACACGTCCTGCACATTGGCTTTCCTTGCTGAGACTGACTAAAAAATGGCTCCCTTCCCTTCCCAATTGCCCTGAGCAAGGGGCGGAACCAAAACTTAACGACGATGGACAGGTGACTTGCCC